CATGAAAGGAGCCACCATCACAGATGTGTCAGGAGCGTTCCTGCTTGGTGAACTCGTCACAGGACTGCAGCGCAGGGGACATACAGTCAAGGTCGTCAATGCGCTGCCAGATTGCAGGGTACAACCCGTCATGTACCTTCAACAGCATACATTGCGCTCTCTCCGTGTTGGGCCTCATTTCTTCTCTTATGTCAACAACCAGGAGCTACTACTGAAGAGCCATGTGCCTGCTGAAGCTGTCCACAGTTGACTGTACAATGTGCAACCAAAAAAACAACAACATGTTTGCCCAACACTCACCAACACCCAACTGCCCACATGGAATGAGGAAGTTCAGTGTGGAGATCTTCCAATTCCCGTCAGCCCAATGTATACGTGCGGGCACTTTTTGTGCAAGATGTTGACGAGTCCATGTAACAATATGTTCAGTGTGGAGATCAGACGCCACAGCTTGAGGAGCTCGCCATGCCACAGGCCCAGCAGCGCCAGCGCGCCAAGCGTCAACAGCACGATGTAGAGCAATCACTTTGCACATGCTGTTGAACCTCAATCTGAGCAAACACACCAATTCACTGGATCATATCATCAAGCAGCTGCCAGAACTCATCACAGCTTTCAAGACCTTGTCACAAGACAGTGCCAGTGGGCTCCTACAGCTCATCCAGAGCATCCAAGACCAACGGACTCCTCAAGCCGGTACGAACCATTTGAAGACTCGAAACGCTTTGTCGGCGCGAAGAGAAACCTCCAGCAGGAACACCTGCGCCGCTGCGTTCGCAGAGCACGGAGCGGTGTGAGATTGTGGAGCTGATTGAGCAACTTAGTTGTTGTTGGAGACCACGTACCGTCCAACGTGAGCACCGCAATACCCTCTTCCGAGAGGTCGATGTTGACCATGTCCAAGAGCTCGTTCAACATCTTCACCAGCTTGGCGAACGACAGTGGATGTCTCAGCCTGTATGTCCCAGCTGATCAGGTGGGCTCCCTGCCGCATCCTGCCAACCGAGCGACAAGGCGCGTACTCTGCGTAGAACTGCATGGTCTCTCCGCTCATCTGTCGTTGAGTCTGCGTCTTCTTCAACTTCCTCTACGCGCCGGTCGGCGAATGCGCTCCTGGGGCAGGCCAAGCCGCAGGAACGCCAAACGCAGGCAAAACTTTCCCGCCAAAATGCCGTGCCCAAGGGACGCACCGCGGCTCATCACACTGAATGCAAGCTGTGCACAGAAGTGTCAGGCTCCAGCTGAACAATGGGTAAATAAACCAAGGGGGCCTTGGGTTCTACATTCTGAATGACTGTGAATCACAACCCCCCACACACCACTGAGTCCTCCTTGCCCTATCCAGGACAGCCATTGGCCCGCGCCCACTCGAGCACCTCGAGATGGTCTCCTTCAGCTGCCCACCAACAGGTCATCTCGTTCCAGGGACAGCCGTTGGCCCGCGCCCACTGGAGCACCTCAAGATGGCCTTCACCAGCTGCATGAGCACAGGTCTCTGCAATCCAGGGACAGCCGTTGGCCCGCGCCCACTGGAGCATCTCGAGATTGCCTGTCTTGGCTGCATTGTTACAGGTTGTCCAGTCCCAGGGACAGCCGTTGGCCCGTGCCCACTGCAGCACCTCGAGATGGCCTTCCTCAGCCGCCATCGCACAGATCTTCTTGGTCAAGGGACAGCCGTTGGCCCGCGCCCACTGGAGCACTTCAAGATGGCCTCCCGTGGCTGCATAGGCACAGGTGTGCTTGTCCCAGGGACAGCCGTTGGAGCGCGCCCACTGCAGCACCTCAGATGGCCTCCCTTGGCTGCATAGGCACAGGTGTGCTTGTCCCAGGGACAGCCGTTGGAGCGCGCCCACTGCAGCACCTCAAGATGGCCTCCCTTGGCTGCATTCACACAGGTGTGCTTGTCCCAGGGACAGCCGTTGGAGCGCGCCCACGCAAGCACCTCGAGATGGCCTCCTTCAGCGGCATAGGCACAGGTCTGCTGGTCCCAGGGACAGCCGTTGGAGCGTGCCCACTGGAGCACCTCGAGATGGCCTTCCCTGGCCGCATTCGAACATGTCCACTTGCCCCAGGGACAGCCATTGGCCTGCGCCCACTGGAGCGTCTCGAGATGGCCAGCCCCAGCTGCGATAGCACAGGTTGACTTGTCCCAGGGACAGCTGTTGGCCCGCGCCCACTCGAGCACCTCGAGGTGGCCGCCCTTGGCCGCACAAGCACAGGTCCGCTCGTCCCAGGGACAGCCATTGGCCCGCGCCCACTGGAGCACCTCGAGATGGTCGCCCTTGGCTGCACGAGCACAGGTCCACACACCCCAAGGACAGCAGTTGGCCCGCGCCCACTGGAGCACCTCGAGATGGCCTCCTTCAGCTGCCCACGCACAGGTCTCCTCGTCCCAGGGACAGCCGTTGGCTTGGGCCCACTGGAGCACCTTGAGATGGCCTCTCTTGGCTGCGTAGCCGCACGTCTTCTCGTCCCATGGACAGCCATTGGAGCGCGCCCACTGGAGGACCTCGAGATGGCCTCCCTTGGCTGCATAGGCACAGGTCTCCTCGTCCCAGGGACAGCCGTTGGCCCGCGCCCACTCGAGCACCTCGAGATGGCCTCCCTTGGCTGCATAGGCACAGACCCACTCGTCCCATTGACAGCCGTTGGCCCGCGCCCACGCAAGCACCTTGAGATGGCCACCTATGGCCGCACGAACACAGGTCCACTCATCCCAGGGACAGCCATTGGTCCGCGCCCACTGGAGCACCTCGAGATGGCCGCCCTCGGCCGCACGAGCACAGGTGCGCTCGTCCCAGGGACAGCCGTTGGCCCGCGCCCACTGCAGCACGGAGAGCCAGCCCTTTGCAGCAAACTCTCTGGTGAGGCGCTTCTGCCTCCACTGCTGCTGCTGCTGCTGCTGCTTGGCTTCTTGTTGTTGTTGCGTCGGCGGGTGGCCATCGTTGCCAACGACGTTGCTGGGGGCATGGAGCACGGTCATCCAGGTGGTGCACACGAACCGGCAGGCGACAAGGCTGCGCGGCTCGACTTGGCTGAGCACCAGTCCCACCAACTCGGGCATGAGTTCCTCCATCATCCTTCTCTCTTCTCCTCGATTTTGTATTCTTCAAGTTGTCCTGCCCTAAAACCCCTGAGACAAAGCGCGGGAAAGCCATTTTAGCGCCTATCCGCAAATTAAAACTCCTATTGCGAAAGAATGAAGGAATGGCTCTCTTCTAATCAAGGTTGCGTGTTGCAATCGGTACTTGCAAACTTGTGCCATTAGCAGCAAGAGGGGAGTGGCATGTGCCTTTTATTCCCTTGATGCGTGTGGTGGCATCCCATGTGTCAGTACTCCAGTGCTGCTGTAGCACCAAGGGATTGTGTGTTGCACTGAAGGAGCCTCGTGTTGCGAGTAAGACGGAATTGCTGCTGGTCCTGCCACCACAGTAATGAGCCTGGGGAGGTCAAACTCGCTCGTGCTAATGTTGGGTGGGTGGTGTGCGCAGCTTGTCTTCTGGCAGTACGAGACGATGCTGATCGGTGGTGCGCAAGGCATCTTGCTGGTGTACGACGCAGCAGATCGCGGCCGTTGGGATTGGTCGGCCTTGCAGAGCATACAGACCTGGTGAGGAAGTACAGACACCATCACGAGCTGCTCGATCGCCAGTTTGCCGACGGCGATGAGGCCGATGACGATGACGCCAAGACGACGACGATGATGAAGAACAAGAACAAGACTGAGAAGGACAAGGTCAGATGAAGAAGAACAAGTAAGTGAGCTAACAGAGCCCACCTACGACGACATCCTGCGGCTGTGCTCCAACCACAAGAAGCGACTGCTCGAGGTGCGGAGATGATCATGCTCATCCCACACATGCGTGGAGGATTGTCTCCTGACCAATGCGCGCGTCTCTGGTACATACATGCGAGCAGGAGATGACGTTCTGGCGACGCGTCGTGCAGCGGGAGGTGGCTCCACTGGTGCAGGCCGAGCAGCAGGGCTCCTCGCCCACGGGGAGCGGTGGCGGCGTGGCCTGGTCCCAGTATGACTTTGTAGGTCGGGTGATCACCTCCCTCTCCATGTTCTTCCACGACCGCACTCGACACTTACGCGCGCACTGATCGGGCTAGAGTCAACTCACGCTTCATCTGGGCCAGCATGTGCATACACTTGAGGGAGGATGCCTTCGTTGTACTTGTCTTCTCTCCAGCTCTCGCCGTGCTGGGCCAGCAGTACGGGCTTCCTTGATTGTGCTGTGTGTGTGTGTGTGTGTGTGTGTGGAAGCAGACGAGACGAGAACCGGGTGCCCTGGTCCAGTACTGCGCAGTTCCCCGCTTCTACTTGTTGAGTGATGATTCTCTCCATGACAGACTCATGATGTGCAGGATGCTTCAGCGCCAGGTTGTGGGTGCCTCTCAGTTGGTTTGGATGAGTGGCGCGAGGAAGAAGTTGAGGTGGCCCGTGTTGGTCAGCTGGCACAGGAGGCTCAAAGGCAATCCGGACCCGCTGTGCGTCAAAGTCAGCGGGGGCCGATGAGTTTTGTAGGCCGACGGTCAAGAACGTGGGGAAAGGCGAGGCGCGGCGAGCGTACAGCTGCATGAGCAGGGCCTCGCACTCAGGTAGGCTGGCGCAGCCTTTGGCGATGGAGGCAAAGTACTTGAACACGAAGAGTTCACTGTGATCATGCTCTGTGTGGATGGCCAGCACTCCATTACCACAGCCTTTCTGGTGTGTCCATTCGCTGTTAGAGTAGATAAGTAGCGCATGGGGCTGGGAGAGGGTACCTTTTCACTCAGACTCACGTTAGTTGTGAGCGCACTCACGACTGGAGAGGGAGAGTGTTGGTGTGAGTGGTCGGCCTCCGACCTCAAGGAGGCTGAACTCACACATGTGAGTTGTCTCCTAATCTCAAGTCAGGGTGCATACCAGAGAAGCAGACGCCTTTCCCCCGTTTCACCTCGACATGCAGTTCATCGCCTTGTCTGCCGAGGTCCAAGCAAGCATCGGTCAACACCTGCGGAGGCAGCAACACCTCTGCACGGACACGCTTGTTTGACACAAGCGCCTCAACATGGATGTTGAGGCTTTTGTGTACTGCAGGCCTACGGGAATGTGGATGCGCTCTGGAGAGCACCGCGTCAGTTAGGTCCTTCACAGCCACAACAAGAGAAGCTCGAACCATGATTGAGGAGCGTCAACTGCAAGATCTGCGTAGAACACAACATGTTTGTCATTCCGAGTAAGAGACGAAGCAAACCACAGTTTTACCTGAAACACGCTCTTCTTGTGCACATCGCCGTGGCAGGACGTGACCCACCGTATGTTATTGACTGGGCAGGATTCCTGGGTACCTCCTCTCAAAGTCGGCAAAGTGAGCGGGCCACAACTCCGTTGGTGTGTCCCTTCCAGTCACCGGGTCGGGCAAGATCAGACGTTTGTACATGAGTGCTCGCCTCATCCGACTCGGAGCTTGGAATATGTCATCATCTGTTATCGCGACCCTACTTTGGCTGTACGGAGGCAGCACACTCTCGTCGTTGACAATACCGCGTAGGGCTTGCTTGACGTCCGAGGCATACCTCACCGCCTGCGAGCGCCGATCGTCGAGATTGCTTGCGCTGGCCTTGATGCCCTCTAGTACTCGTCTGAGCCCCTCGGTCAGATCCGAAACTGTAACACTTATCGTCCTGTTGACCGCCTGCTTCTCGGTGACTGTCCTGCGTGCCTCGTCGTCATTCTTGATCTTGGCGAGACGATCTTCCAGGTACTCTTTGTCCTTGATGCTCCCATGATGGGTGATGAGCTCAGGACCTCCGGGCTGTTTGAGGAGGATAGAGATAGAGGTAGAGGAGGAAGAGGTAGAGGTAGAGGAGGAAGAAAAGGAAGAGGAGGAAGAAGAGGAAGAGGAGGAAGGCGAGGATTAAGCCCAATGTGGATGTTGACCAGCACATCTTGAATTTTGCTTGTTGAATGATGTTGTCCCATCACCACCACCCAGTAATCATGCAATTTGCATCTTTGTTCATCCCGTAGTAAAGCCAAACAAATTGGTCGATCAAGACCACCTTGACTGGGAACACCGCCGGTCCAGCAAGAAGAAGAACCCGTTCTCTGGGCGAACCTACGCACCACCGGACTCAAGAATGGCGGAAGCCTTGCCGAGTGGTCCGGCCTGGTGCCCGTGACGCCCAATACGCGCTACTACCCGTACGCCGAGTTCCTCCAGGAGAATCATGAGTATGGGAAGGTGCTCCTGGCGACATACGGATCGAAAGTCGCCGACCTGGTCACGCTGGCCGAACACCCGGACCACCGGCGAGGAAACCCCTTAAAACTGTCTGCGAACCGGTACTGGGAAGGAGATTGTTGTGTTGGAGATTTCTACTTCCTCCTCTTCCCGCCTCCGCGTTGCTTGCCTCCCTTCCTGCCGCCCTTCCGCTTCTTGCGCTGCTGCACCTTGTCCTGGTGACGCGGCGTTCAATGACCCAGCTTCTCGGTTTTCTTAACTCGGCTGGTACGTGGTTTTGCTCCTGTGGGCTGCCATGGAAGAAGTACACCCGGCAGGGCGGGTTTTTGCCAAACTCGTCTTCAATTTGGGGCAATGCCCTGCCTCAGGAAGTTTTGGCTCTTGTTCTCATAATCGACAAAAAACCACTTCTTCCTCTGCATTGTGTCGCTGGTCAGGTTCCTTTTTAAAAAGCAAAACAGTTTTATTTATTTCCGTTAATTTCCGACGTTGGGGGGGGCGTGACCGCGAACGCGAACGCGACCGCGAACGCGAACGCGAACGCGAACGCGAACGCGAACGCGACCGCGATTTGCACAGTAAGAAAAAGAAAATAGAGTTTCCCTTTTCTTTCTCTTTTTGTGGAACATGCAACAAGAAAACGAGAGGGACAATGAGACACCCATTTCCCTTTTTATTACACATATCTCCATGCTTCTGAGAACCCAAGTACATCTGCATCAACAATGAGGGGATTGATGAGAAGAAGAGGAAGTGCATGCATGAGATCAAGAAGAAGCCAAAGCAAGTGCATGAGATCAAGAGACACAGGGGAAATGAAGTAATTGTTCAGTAATGTATATATACACACTTCTCAGTGTCTGATTGTATGTGGAGATGAGCCATTGAGTCTGGCTTGGAAGGCCTTCATAGCAGGAGTTGTCTTGCCAGGAGGGGATTGCCACAGCCAGGGTAGGGACACTTGTGGATCTTCTCAGCATACTCATACATCATCTCCTGGAGTCTCTTCACAATCTTGTGAGCTTCACAGAAGGGAGCCACACTGGGGTCTTTCTTGTCATTGAGGACGTTCAACACATTGTCATAGTGGCATTCAATTCTGGCTTCAAGCTTGATGAGAGTCCCAAGCACATTCTCAGCATTGCAGAGGATGCTCCCAGTCCCAGCAAGGCAGATGGGCTGGTGCATGTGATGGCAGGCCACAGTAATGACTGTGTTGATGATGTGCAACTTGCTGTTGTGATAGCTGTAAGTAGTCTGGCCAAGGTTCCAGCCAGGAGGATAGCTGATGCTGGGTGACTTGGTGGGGTTGTGCTTGGAGGCCTCTCAAGCAAAGTCATCTGCATTGATGAGACCATCCAGTGGGGCAAGAGCCTTGCAGATCAGACAGACCTCATGCTTGAGCCTGGCACAGAGGTCAAGTGCCATGATCAACTTGGGCCTCACCTTCTTGATCATGCCCTGCAGTTGGATCATGCCCAGCACATCAATGGACTCAAAACACAATTCCAGCTTGAGCTCCTCATCTTCCTCCTCAAAGATCAGCAACAACATCAATGACAAATGAATAACAAATGGATATATTTATACAGTTGTTCTTTTATGTGATTTCACATGAAAACCCTACTGTGATACATGATGTCACATGGAATTATTTTATTGGGTGAGAGTCTTCTCCTCCACAGACATTGCATCCTCAATATAGCTCATGGACAGCCTAAGATTTCTGCATTCATGGTCATGGTCTCCAACTGTGCCTGAACATGTCACTGGATGAGTACATACCAATAAAAAGTACACATACACCACACACACAAAGAGGAACAGGGAATACACATGCATAAGTCTCTGTCAGTGGTCAGGAGGTCAGCAGGAATAGGCTGTTGGTTTTACATCTGGACCAAGACTTTCTTATGTTCCTTCATTAGCTCATCATGTAGGGTTTTTAGGGGTTCTTTGTTCTCCTTGAGCTGTGCATGCTGTTGTAGTCTCTTAGCAGCTGACATGTTGACTGGTGGATGAGTGCATGTGGGTGGGTGGAAGAAAAAGAAAGACAGCACGTGTTGGGTTTTTGGTGTTGTCATCTTCCCACCAAATCCAATTTTGGCAGGAAGACAACACCCTGGTCTCAGTCAGTCCTTTTCTCTTACCACTGCAGAATGCTTGTTCATTTCTGAAAGAGAAAGTGCATATTGGACTGGTGCATGTTGTGCACCACCAACACCACCCTGTATCCAGCCTGACCATACAATGGCTGTATCCAAACCTTGTACAGGTACTTGTCCCATTTTTCTCCAAATGGTTGGTGTAAATCCTTTGGCCACAGAGGGAGCTGAGGCACAACCCCCAATGGGTCAGGGCCATTGATGGAGAAGCCTGGGTGGACATGCAATAAGACACTCAAGGTATCCTTGGGTCGTGCCACATCAGCTGAAATGAGAAGCTTCTTCTCCAAGTCAGGGAGACAGAAGTAGGTGGCCTCACACTTGAGTCACTGCTTGAGGCCATTGTCAAAGAACTCCACATCAAGGTCACCATCACACAGGAACTGAAGGATGAACTTGAACAGCTCCCCATCACAGTCAATGAAGATGTGCCCATCAGCCCCCCACACAAGTTGATGGCCATTAATCATGCATGCAAGTAGCAACTCACCACAGTGGAGAACTTGTGGTCATTTGAAATGAGAGGTCCAGTCATTTTGAAAAGTGATTTTGTTTGTGAGTTTAAGCTCATAAAAATGGTTTTGATAACACAAAAATGGTTTTATTTTAACAATAACATCACAAAATTGGATGCATCTTGAGATATGGCAGATCAAAATTCCATCATAATGAGAGATGTGATACTGTAACAGGGCCAGCAGTCAAAGTCAAATTAGTTTGGTGTGGTTGGCATAATGTGAGGATTACTGGGGTAGCCAGTGTTCTTTATTTTATTGGCATGGTGGTGATTGTCATTGAGCACATGCCTAGAGGAGGAAGCTT